CTTAGCTGGCCCCCAGCTTCTCCAATCACCAATCACTTTTTAGAATATCTCCCTATCTACTCCAGCATAATGCCAAAGTTAATTGGACTGTCTTTTCTCAAAGGCATCTTACTTACTGCAACATGTCTCATCCTTCCGGGAGAAGATCGTGGGTGGAGATCTAAGACAGCAAGATGGGGCCACCTGTATCCTCTGTGCAGGAAAGACTGTGTTCCCTTTGGACATTTCTTTGACTTTCAGTTTCTAGACTGAGCACCCTTAGTTCCAGGTGAAGACAGACTAGAGAGCTCACAGTGCCTTCATCTGGTTGCCCGGCTAACCCAGCCCAGGGCTGTTGTGAGGATACACGTCAAGGTCAGCATCAGCAGGAGCAGCTTTGAAAATCCATCAGTTACTTGCTGATTACCTTGTGTCTGGGGAAGGGTGAGAGGTTTTCACGGGCACGTCGTCTTCGATCAATAGCTGATCTGTTAGGTTGATTTTTATCCTCCCTGGTTCACAGGGGAGGATGTGGGGCTGAATGACATGCTCAGTGAGATGAAGCTAATGAGAAGCAAAGCCCAGGTCTTGTCCCTGCCAGACCAGTGAGTTCTGTGCCCAGCCGCAGCTGGGCAAGGTTAGAGGGGCGGGCACTGCCTCGTCACCACCCCAGGCATTTCATTAGTGAGCCTGACACACTTCCATCTAGAGGAAGTCCCCCTGGTGAACACCATCTCCCCCTAAGCAAGGCTTCTCCACCTCACGTTGGAACAGACCCTTCTCTGTGCTGGGGCTGTCCTGGGCACGGCCGGGCGTTCAGCAGCCCCCCTGGCCTCTCTGCATCCACTGGAAGCCAAAACCATGTCTTCCCACCCCAACCAAGTTGCCACCATCAAAACTGTCTCTAGACATTACCAAACGTCCCCTGGGGGGCAAAATCGCCCCCAGTTGAGAATTACTAGCCTAAAATAATAATTCAATTTAGTTGAGTTGGACAGTTTTCACAGGAATCTTTTTCCCATTTGCTACTCAAATATAAGTGAGCGTGATGAAGCGACAGGGGGCTCGATGGGTGGAAAAACACGTGCGTGGACTACGGACATCACTGTCAGGAAACAGGAAGCGTTAATCTCCACTACCTGGGTTGAAATAGCTTTGCTCTTGTCGCTACACGTGATCAGAGTCTGCTGGCCTTCCTCAGAGCTTCTGGGCCCAACTTCGGACACAAAACAGCGTCGCAGCAGGAACAGCAGAGTGGCTGTAATGAGACAGAGCAGGGAAATGAGTTGGGCAGCTCATTGTCAGCAGAGGTTTCAGCAGGATCTTGTGTTCTGGTGATTGGTAACTCAGCCATGAACAGACACGGTCAGCTGTGTCTTGATCATCTCCATAGCTATATAATTAGTGCAGCTTGGGGCACAAGTCGGTGTTAGATAATTATTGGTTGAATTGATCAATACCATGTGACCAATAACATTGTATTGTTTATTTGAAAATTGAGCTTGCTTATTTGTGTGCTGCAGGCCCAGGAGCCTAGGTATCTGCACATTGCTGCCCCCAGTGTTACTGCGAACCCCAGTGTTCCTCTATGGGGTCCATTGCTATAAATTGCTGTCTACTGAATTTCTAGAAGCTACTTTTGCCAGACGGGTAGCATGTCTGACCAGGTTGGGAATGTTTGACCTGAGTCTGAGACTCTGATGAGCCTAAGGGTCATTCTCAAGGCATCCCACTGATCTCTGCCATCTTCTGCTCCCTGGCCCAGAGGACTCCCACACTGCTGGCTTACAGCCTGAGAAGAGGAGCCACATCCCCAGGACAGCCCCTGCAGACCCTGACCTGCCAGAATCATGAACGCTGCACAGGGAGGGGCTAGGGTAGCCCACGAGGAGCCCAGTTCCTATGACTGCAACTGATGCCTCCACACACGCGACTCCACTGGAACAGAAACAGAGCCTTACATGGACAGTCTGCTTCTGGGAAAGTCCCTGTTTGTCTCAGATGACCAGTGGCACCGAGTAATTACCCAGTGGGAGGCTTCTCAACATTAAAAGTTCAACTGACCGACCTGCAGAAGGGAAACAGACATTGCATGTGTTGACTTGCTCATTTGCCCATCTACCCAACAGAGATTTACTAAGTCCCTCCCATGCGCCATGGCTCTGTTCAAAAGTTAGCCGATTTCAGACTTAAAGGGAACAGTCACCAAGACCACGCTCACTTCTATCTGACACCAGCTGTGAGTCCAGGGGTTCTCAAGACTGTGCTCAGGTTTGAAAGTTCTCTAGAAGGACCCATAGAACTCACTGAAGGCTGTGCACTCATCGTTATGGTTCATTGCAGCAATAGGATATGGATTAAAATCAGCCAAAGGAAGAAGCACATGGGGCAGAATTCAGAGAAGCACCAACCACAGAGCTCCCAGTTCTTCAGCAGAGTCACGATAGTGTCACTTCCCACATCAGTAAGTGACATAATGCTTCGAGTGCTGTCAGCCAGGGAAGCTCCCCTGAGCCTTGTGTCCAGGATCTTTATCAAGACTCAGTCATGTGAATCTGGTTGGCCATCCAATGGCTGACTTCGGTCCCCAGTGTTGCTGGAGATCAACGGATGCCCACGTGACCCAAAGCCCCCAACCTAAATCACATCTGTATCTGATTGGCACAAGACCAAGGTAAACAAAGACATTCCTTTCAGGCAAGACATCCCAAAGGCCTAAAGCTCACTTCCCAGAAGCCAAGGGCAAAGACCAGAGCTCTTTTGGGGCAATGTTCAATGGTTTACTACATACTTTGGGGCTGGGAACTGTAAACATGAGCTCATAGTTTCATCTAAAAAATATGCTACATTCTACAGACACACTGATAGAAGCTCAAAGGAGAATGTTGACAGCAGATGCCAGTGGCTTTCTGGTAAGAGCACCCCAGTTTTCCTTTGGGAGAGCCCCCACCTCCTGAACCAGCCCATGCAGATCAGGAGATGCGAAGCCCAGACCCCATGGGCTTTGGTCAGCTGCCCCAAGAATTATTGTGGATGGGAATTGGGAGGGCAGATAGGCTGACTGGTTTCTGTTGATCTGTTGTTTTGAATGGGCCTCACTTTCCTGTTTCTTTGTGTGCCTTGTGATTTTCTTCTTGAACGCTGGGCATTTGGATCTAACCATGCGGGAACTCTGGAGATCAGATTCTCCCCCTTCCCAGGGTTTTCTGTTTTTCCTTATTGTTTTATTTTTTTTTTATTTTTGTTTGTTTATTGGACTGCCATGGGCTGTCTCTGTGCTGAGGATCAGCCTCTCAACTTAATGCCCTCTCAGGCTTTCCTGGCCCTTTCCCTGGGCATACTGGCCACTTTCTGATTTTCCTCATACAGGTGGTGGTTGTGGAATTGTCCTAGCCTTTAACGTCTGGCTCCCGAAATACGGAAAAGCAAACAATGAAGAGGGGAAAATGCAGGCACCTGTCCATCCAATCCCCGGAAGCCACTTCAGCTGGCAGGGGAGGGGGTCTGCCACATCGATGGAAGGGCGAAGCCAATGGCTGCCTTCCTCTTTGGCTGCACCTCCAGGAGTGAAAGCAGCAATCAGCCAGCAGAGCACTGATCCCTGATATTTGGGGGACAGAGATTTTTTTTGCCCCCTCTGGCTCCTGCAAACTCTATGTTTGGCCGTTCCAGGAACAGGTGCACAGCTCCTGGGCACTGGCTGGGGATGGGGAGGAGTTGCTGCTACTGTGCTAAGAGCCATAATTGACCAAAATTAACCGCAGTTTACCATCCAAGCCTTTCTCTGGCAGTTGCAAGCCTTCAATAGAACCCAGAGTTCCAAAACAGGTACGTGAGATTCTTCCCGTGCAGTTGTCTGGGTGGGGAGACAGATTCCTGGTGCTTCCTACTCTGCCATCTTCCTAGGGATTATGGCAACTCGATGGCTAAACACTGAGCAAACCCAAGTGGACGCCCACAGGTGGATGGAAGAACACAGTGCGGTCTACACAGACAGTGGAGGAGTATTCAGCCTTGAAAAGGAAGGACGGTCTGCAACCTGTTACCACATGGATGAACCCGGAGGACGTCGTGCTGAATAAGCGACATAAGGCAGTCACAAAAAGACGAATACTGTATGATCCCAGTTCTCTGAAGCACCTTGAGTAATCAAATTCACAGAGACAGAAAGTAGCGTGGTGGTTGCCAGTCAGAAGGAAGAGAGATGGGGGTCTCGTTTCATGGGGACAGAGTTTCAGTTTTATAAGATCGAAAAGTTCTGGAGATGGACGGTGGGGATGAATGTGCAACTGTGGGAAACAGAACGCCACAATGTGGCGCATGTTCGCTCAGACTCTGAGATCTCTGAGAAAACTCGAGATTGCAGGGTTAAGAATAACCCGAAAGGATCAGAGTGAAATGCCCTTGGAACGTGTGTGGTCAGTTCTAAAGTACACAGCAGAAGATATTTTGTAGATAGGAAGCCAGCTGTAAACGGCACACTGGGCACTCTCCTCTGTTCCTTTATTCTGTTTTAAATATTCTTACGTGCTTAACTAATCCTGGGTACATGGAGGAGTGTGCCTTCCTACGCCCCTGCTGTAAACCATTACGGATCTATATCGCTGTGGAAGGTATGTAAGAGGATGGAAAATAAACCTCAGCACCTCAGGCTGTTTGCTTGAGGTCCCCTGCGGCTCGCCATACTGTCATCTCTTTTTCTCAGTTCTTTCGCCACCCCAGGTCCCCAACTCTCTGAGGTCGACGTGCAACAACATGAATGTACTTAATACCCCTGAACTGTACACTTAAAAATGGTTAATATGGTAAACTTTGTGTTAGATATATTTTACCACAATTAAATTTAAAAAAACCCACTTCTGTTGCCCAGAAGCCAGAGGGCTGCCAATTTACAACTTTTAGTAAAAAGGGACATAGAAACACATAACAAATTATTTTAATATAAGAAAAATGGTATAAAAGCGACGTGTGCTAAGTGCAAGGGGGAAAAGAGCAGGTGCACTTCCCCGGGGGGGAGGGGGTCAGCGACAGCTATAGAAGGAAGAAGGCACTGAACGTGGGCCATCGGGCCTTCTCCTGTTCCTCTCAGTTATTTTCATAACTGAGCTGGAGTCAACCTCACCCGCCCGCCAAAGGGCAGGTTTCCACCAGGAATGCCTACGGGTAGGTGGCTGGTTCTGTTTAAATGACCACACTCCCCGTTCCTCTCTTCTCACCTTATCTGGCCAGCAGCTCTGTCTGGATCTGTAGCATTGAAAATTCCCAGCTGAATTCCGGGTCTGGCACCGTCAACCTCGCTGACGACAAAGCTCCTGGGGTAAAAGGCTGGTGGGTCATTGGTGTCCGTCACCTGCACGCTCACAGTGGTGCTCACCACCACCCCCCAGGGCCCCTGGACCTGGCCCGCCTCACAGGGGAAGAGCGGCTCCTCATTCTCCACAGTGATGACAAGGCTTCGTATAGGGTGAGTTTCATAATCCAAGGGCTGCGAGTCCCAGAGAGAGGGTTTCATGAGCACCTGCTGCTTCTCTGGCCGGAGAAAGCTCAGCACATGATCACGCGCACCCAGAGTGCATGGCTTTTGCAATTCATTTATTATTTATACTGTTTTTGGTAATGATCAAAAGACAGTGGCCAGCCCATTTTCAAATCACTTATGGAGTTCTGCTTTTTTTTTTCCCCCTCCCCCTCTCCTGGTTGAAAAGAGCCACCATTGAATGCAAGCTGGTGCAGCCACTCTGGAAAACAGTATGGAGGTTCCTCAAAAAGTTGAAAATACAGCTACCATATGATCCAGCAATTGCACTACTGGATATTTACCCCAAAGATACAAAAGTAGGGATCCGAAAGGGTACGTACACCCCAATGTTTATAGCAGCAACATCCACAATAGCCAAATTGTGGAAAGAGCCAAGATGTCCATCAACAGATGAATGGATAAAGAAGATGTGGAATATATACACAATGGAATATTATGCAGCCATCAAAAGGAATGAGATCTTGCCATTTGCAACGACGTGGATGGAACTGGAGGGTGTTATGCTGAGCGAAATAAGTCAATCAGAGAAAGACATGTATCATTTGACCTCACTGATAGGAGGAATTCTTAATCTCAGGAAACAAACTGAGGGTTGCTGGAGTGGGGGTTGGGGTGGGAGGGATGGGGTGACTGGGTGATAGACATTGGGGAGGGTATGTGCTCTGGTAAGCGCTGTGAATTGTGCAAGACGGTTGAATCTCAGATCTGTACCTCTGAAACAAATAATGCAATATATGTTAAGAAAAAAAAAAAGAAGAAGAAGGTAGCGGGAGGGGAAGAATAAAGGGGGGGAAATCGGAGGGGCAGACGAACCATGAGAGACGATGGACTCTGAAAAACAAACTGAGGGTTCTAGAGGGGACGGGGGTGGGAGGATGGGTTAGCCTGGTGATGGGTATTGAGGAGGGCACGTTCTGCATGGAGCACTGGGTGTTATGCACAAACAATGAATCATGGAACACTACATCTAAAACTAATGATGTAATGTATGGGGATTAACATAACAATAAAAAAATTTTTTAAAAAGCCACCATCCATCAGACAGTAATGAAAAATGTAACAAAAACCATAATCTAATGAAACATTAATGTGGCAACTCTGCTGCAAAAAAAAACAGGGGAGCTTAAGGAAATACAGAAATTAATGATCACAGTTACTCAGGGTGCAAAGTGGGCAGTGACTTAAAAGGACTGAAAAGCTAGGAATATTTGAGATATTCAATCCCAGGCATCTGGCATGGAGTACCCCAGAGCCTTGCTGTTCACAGCATGGTTGGGGCCCACGGGCATCACCCGGCACTTTGTTCCTCTGATAGGCAGGAGCCCAGGTCCCACCCCAGACCTTCCGACCCAGGCCTGTCTTTCAACCTGATCCCCAGGTTGACTCGCCAGCATGGCACCAGGACACTGGCCTCTCCAGGGTCTAGCTGAGAGCAATGGAGTCAGACCACCTCAGTCAGAACCGCTCCTCCGGCTGTGTGACTTCATGAAAACGACCCAACCTATCTGGGCCTTGGTTCCTTATCAGTGAAAGGAGAAAATAATACTTTTCTGCAGGGCCAGCTCCTCATTAGGCACAGCAGGCAAAGTCCAGGGGCCCACAGGACTTTCAGGGGCCCATGCACACCTTCTAGTGTCTTTTAAACTCAGAAGGAAAAAAATGAACTTTCAGGATCAGAGAAAATGTCTGAAATATTTTATCACATCAGAAAAAAAAATAAAACATTTTAGGACCTATAGAAATCTATTTTGTCTCAAACAGAAAAAATTAAATGTTGAAGAACTTGGCACCTTGTCAAAAGTAATTTTCAGTATTGATATTGTTGTGGTGGGGAGGCTCCACAAAGGCAAAAGGGCCAAGGGCCTGCAGCAGCCGGCACTCGTGACACAGCCTGCCCCCCTCACTGGGCGCCCCTGGGACACACAGCACGCCATGCCTCACATGCGTGGCCCGGCGGGCACTCCCGACGCTAGCTGCCATCTCCCATCAGGACTCCTGCAGAGAGGGGCCCGACACTGCAGCCACCTGGCAGGTGCACCTTCCCCGATGGCTTTACCTTGATCACATTTAAAATCCCTTCATTGGGGGGCGCCTGGGTGGCTCAGTTGGTTGGGCGACTGCCTTCGGCTCAGGTCGTGATCCTGGAGTCCCGGGATCAAGTTCCGCATCGGGCTCCCTGCTCGGCAGGGAGTCTGCTTCTCCCTCTGACCCTCCCCCCTTTCATGCTCTCTCTATCTCATTCTCTCTCTCAAATAAATAAATAAAATCTTAAAAAAAAAATCCCTTCATTGGTCTCGGGGTCAGTCAGAATGTCCAGATGTCCCTCTTCATTGCCATTCAGTATGTGAAATTTTACTCTCCAAGCTGATGTAAATGGCAAGTCACCATCTTGGACCAGGAGACGTGACACGCTCTGGCTTGTGCAGCCTTCAGAAATCTGAATCCTGTACTGGGAGAGGCAATCATCATGTCCACGCCATGGGGATAAAGACACACAACTGAAAAAGAAAGCAAGACAGAAAATGTAAGTCCCTAGCACAAGAACATAGATATATGCTATTGAACTTGACCCCAAGCAATCTGAAGCTCTGTCCGACCCATCACAACAAGCATCTGTTCCTTCTCTCTGTGACTTGTGTCTACAGCCGAATAGCTTTAAAAGTCCTCTTAAATCCAACTCGATGCACTATTTTTCTAAGAATCTTTAAAATAATAATGCATATCCTAGTTTATGCTGCTAAAAAAACCTAACTCTTCTAAAATAGAACTCTTATGGTAACTTAGATTAAAACAATCATTTTTCTAACACATATAGATCTTTAGCTTGTTACTCAGTGCTTTTGGCGACAAGATAATTTCTCTTTGACGAGTACGTGGAAATAGGGTTTATTTTCCTTAGTTTTGAGAGCAGAGCTTTTTACTAAGCCAGAGAAGGATTTCAAAACAAGGTTCGATATGTTTCAGTTATTCTGTACTGTTCGGTGAGGTGTTTTCATTTGAAAACAATTCAGCTTTTCTCTATATAATTTTTTTTAAGATTTTTTTTGAGTAGGCTCCATGCCCAGCATGGAGCCCAACGTGGGGCCTGAACTCACAACCCTGAGATCAAGACATGAGCAGAGATTACGAGTCGGACACAACCGACTGAGCCACCCATGCACCCCTTGTCTATACAATTTTTAAATTTTTTTTCAAACGATACTTATTGAAAATAATTGTAGCATTTATTAATATTCAACAAAGGCTCCAATGTGCCAGATTCTGTCTTAGGTGCTGTGAACAGGATGGGCAAAACTCCATCCCCAGGGAGCAGATGATTAAGTGTGTGTGTGTGTGTGTGTGTGTGTGTGTGTGTGTGTGTTGGGTAGGGACAGGGAGGAGGGGGTGGATGCTGTGTTGGGGATTGAACTAGGTCGTCGGGAAAGGCCTCATTGAGAGAGGTCAGGAGAAAGACAGAAGTAAAATGCATATTTTTCTTTCAAAAAATGCATATGAGAGAGCAAAAAATATAAAATAGGAAACAAATCCTGAGTGTTTTTAGCAATCTTGCGTATCTCAAGTGGTGTGGCATTTCCAAATGATCTGGATGTGGGTTTCAGTGCTTTCTTCAAGCATGCAGATTGGTAGCATCTGAATTCCCATGTGGAACCCTGTATATAAATCAGGTGATCTGAGAAAGGCTCAGCCAGAGCCCACCTGCTCATCTTCCCTCTTCTAGAACTCCAGATGTTGTGGAAAAGCTCAGGTCTAGATTCTCACCCGGGGGCAAACCTGCCCCCCAGGGGACATTGGGCAATGTCTGCAGACATTTTTGGCTGTCACACCTGGGAGGTGCCCGTGGTATCTAGTGGGTGCAGGTCAGGGATGCTGCTAAACATCCTACAGTGCACTGGCCTGCCTCCCCTGATCCTACAACAATGAATTTCCCATCCCCCGTCAATTGTGTGGAACTGAGAAACCTCCATGTAGAGTGAGCACGGATTCTCTATCTTCCCTGTGCCTCGGCTTCCTCGTCTGTAAGACAGAAATCATGTGTGAGTCCCAGCAATTCAAAATGAAAGCATGCACGTGAAAGCTCTGAGCACAGTTTCTGGCACAAAACAGTAAAAAAACATAAGCTCGCAAGTCTATTATTAAATGATTCTATATCAGGTTGGTTGATGTCTTCATCTAGTTTAAGTGATCTTGGAGAATGACATGTATCTTGGCCATTATGGAGAATTCCCTCAGCAAAACTGAGCCTAGAATTTGGGGCCGTTTATGCAAGGCCGTGGCATCTGAGGAGGCCCAGGTGTCTTACGTTCTCCTGGGTAAACGTGGGCCTGTGGTTGTTGCCTTCTTGCACGTTCACATGAACCGAGGCCGTGGATGTCAAGGGAGGTTCTCTGAAATCCTTCGCTCCAACTAGTAGTGTAAACCACGGAGCAGTCTATGTGGGAAGGAAAAGAACAGTCAAGCCCTTCAAATACAGCAAAGGGAAGTATTAATAAAGTAATAATCCATTATAGCAATTTCAATAGCAAGTCCAGCCACAGAGGGTTTTCCACTACAGACATAAATCCTAAGTCTGGGGCTCCGAGATAGAGAACACATTTCACTTTTTAAAAATAATAAAATCAACATAACCTCATAATCTAAGCATCCTGAGAGTTGTATTTCTCCACTAATATGGTCAATCTGGAAGCCACTATCTTTCAGTGACAGTGTTTGAGAAATAAGGAAATAAAGGACTTGAGAATTTGGAGTATTTTCTTCATCCAAATCAACTGTTAACATCTGGAAAATGGGTTGACCTGGAAAGAATTGTTTTAACAGTTACTATTGACCAAAAGCAGCATATCAAACCAGTAGAATGATGATTCTTTGCTAAATGACATTAAGGCATCCACCAGAATGGACTGAATATTTAAATATAAAATCAAACTATAGACATACTTAAAAACTAAAAAAGGAATATTTAAATAGTCACAAGAACTTTTTTTTTTAAGATTTTATTTATTTACTTGAGAGAGAGAGAAAGAGTATATATAGGGGGAGAGGGAGAAGCAGGCTTCCCGCCGAGCAGGGAGGCGGACACAGGGCTCAATCCCAAAACCCTGAGATCATGACCTGAGCCAAAGGCAGACACTTAACTGAATGAGCCACCCAGGCACCCCTAAATAGTTACAAGAACTTTCTAATCACGATTGCAAATGCAGAAGACATAAAGGAGAGAATTGATAGATCAGACAGATTTTTAAAGGTGTGCCAAGAAGAACTATATAGACAAAATTTAAAAAAATGATAAACCAGGAAAACATTTAAAATATATATGGCAGACATAAACATTCTTAATACAGAATGAGAAGGTTAAAATCAAGAAGAAAAATGACAAGCACAGGGACAGAAATGGACCAAGAAAGGAACAAGTATCTGGTACACAGAAATGGACAAGAAACCTATCAACATATGCAAGCACTTAATAATCAAAGATGAACCCCGTGCCAGGCCCCCCAGATGTTGCCAGTAGGTGAGTAAAGTGGAACACTTAAATTGTATGTGCAGTCAGAACCAGCCATTCTACTCTTGTAAATTATGCCAAGTAGATAATGCTTCGGTGGACACAGATTTAGCTCAAATGTGTTCACTGAAGCATATTTTTGTGAAGATAACAAAAAATGGGCATGGCACACAAATGTCTAACAATAGGAGATTCGTTAAGAAACCTTAAAGCACATCCATGAAATAAAATATTACACAGTAGGATGCTGTAGGAAAACACTTTTAGGTTACAAACAGTAAATTTGCTGTTTTAGAAAAGAAAATTCATAAATATACACATATGAAAAAGCACACCCATACATTTGTAAATATTTATTATATACCCCTATATATTTTGCACTATGATAAAGATGAAAAATGCATTGGTAATTATATATAAAATCAGGGAATATATATACACATAGATAAATATACAGCGTGTGCACATGCACACACATACAAAATTCAAAGAAAAAAACAAAGAATATAAACTAAAACATTAATGGTACTTAATCTCTAATTGGAAGTATAAAATAAGCTTTCTAGTTCAGTCTTAATTTCTTGGAATTTTCCAAATTTTCTAAAGACTACTTTGTGAAATAAATAATGTTTTTCTGTTATTAAAACAGATGCACATTCTAGTGAGAGTGGTTTGGATTTAAAGACTCACAGAATCTATAGCTCAGGAACTTTAGGTGTCATCTCGTTGCCATTTTACAGGTGAGAAATTTACAGAGATATTCAGGAAGGCACCGTTCAGCTCTGCCTTTCTCCCTCAGTGCATCTGACCTACTTTAGATTGGTCTTTACATATCAGCTCTTGCAACAGACACAATTTCCACCTCATTTTATTGCCAATACAAAACGATACTTACAGACCTCCAAGCATTCTGCTCAAAACCAGAGCCTGCCACCTTCGGGATGAGAAGAATAAAATTTCTCCCTAAAGACAACGAGGATCCGGCACCACAACATGGAAGCAGATGGACCAGAGGGGACCAGAGGGGAGAGGAAGCCCCCCACACACACTCCCGCCGCACGCACCTGCAGGGTAGTGCTCCTTCGCACTGGTGTTGAATTCCTTCTCGGGGAACTGGGGTGCGTGATCGTTCACATCGCTGATCCTAATGTTGAAAATCAAGGAATTATCCATGACCTTTCTTGTTAAGCGGTCCACAACATCAAAATAAACCTAGGAAGCAGAGAATTGTGTTAATGTTGCAGGATCGTTTACTTGATGGCACGATATATGTTCACGTCATTGCACGGTTTGCATCCTCTCCTGCATCAGCCGGGAAGTTTCTGAGGGCAGGGATCTCATCGCTGTTTTTCACCTCGTGACCCCAGGGACTGACCACAGTGCTGGCTCAGACAAGGCACTTAGTGAACATTCGTTATGATCAGGTTCTAATCTCAGTTTCTCTACCCGGGTGAAACATAGCCAGGTTGCTCAGGAGCCTCAGTTTCTGCTGTCGGTGCTGTCATGAGAAATACAGACTGCTAACCAACACTCCTGAGACGCTGCAGAGGGCAGACCCTTGAACGTTTCAGGGAAAGGGAACACTGAAAGTAACTAGCCCAGCTGCTGCCATGTTGTGGGTTCTTCAGTGGTTGGGGACGTCACTTCTGTGCTTGAAGAAGGAGGGTTCCCTCATCTCAAACATGCAGCGGGAAGTCTTTCCTCTCAAAAGCTCTCAAAGCAATACTTTAGGCTTCTTGCTTTAGTCCCTTAAGAACTTTAAAAAAAGGAGCAAATCAGGCCGCCTGGGTGGCTCAGTTGGTTAGGCATCAGACTCTTGATTTCAGCTTTGGACACAATCTCAGGGTCATGGGATCCAGCCCTTTGTGGGGCTCTGTGCTCAGCTTGGAGTCTGCTTGCGATTCTCTCTCTTTGCCCCTCCTCTCTGTCTCTGTCTCTCTCTCTAAAATAAATAAATAAATCTTTAAAAAGGAGCAAATTAGGGGCGCCTGGGTGGCTCAGTCATTAAGCGTCTGCCTTCGGCTCAGGTCATGATCCCAGGGTCCTGGGATTGAGCCCTGCATCGGGCTCCCTGCTCAGCAGGAAGTCTGCTTCTCCCTCTCCCACTCCCCCTGCTTGTGTTCCTGCTCTCTCTCTCTCTGTCAAATAAATAAATAAAATCGTTAAAAATAAATAAATAAATAAAATAAAAAGGGAGCAAATTAAACTCAGAAAGAAGGAAATAATAAACATATATATCAATAAAGTTCAAAATAGCGAAACACAGTCAACAAAACCAAAAGCTAGTTTGCCTTCTCGTATAAAGTTTGGGATCAGCTTGTTGAGATCTATGAAAAGTTCTGCAAGTGTTTTGATTAGTTTTGAGCAGAATTTATAGATAAATTTGGGAAGAATTATTCCTTTAATATTCAATCTTTCAGTCCATAAATACAGTCTGTCTTTTCATCCAGTTAGGTTTTCCTTGGTTTCTTTCATTAGTATTTTATAGTTTCGAGTAAAGAGATCCTGCACAGATTTTAGACTTATGCCTAAGCACTTCATTTGTTTTGGTAATATTATAAATGATACTGTTTTTAAAATATTGATTTCCAATTATTCATTGCTAGTGTATAGAAATACAATTGATTTTTATATATTAACTTTATTTCCTGGGACCTTGCTAAAATTGATTTTCAAATGTTAAAAATAGGCAAAAGGGGCCCCTGGGTGGCTCAGTTGGTTAAGCGACTGCCTTCGGCTCAGGTCATGATCCTGGAGTCCCGGGATCGAGTCCCGCGTCGGGCTCCCTACTCATCGGGGAGTCTGCCTCTCTCTCTGACCCTCCCCCCTCTCGTGCTCTCTCTCTCTATCTCATTCTCTCTCTCAAATAAATAAATAAAATCTTAAAAAAAATAGGCAAAGGATTTGAACAAATATCTCTTTCTCCAAAGATATACAGATGGCAAATAATTCCTCATTCCTTTGGCGGTTTCTTACAAAACTAAACATCCTCTTACCATGCAAACCAGCAATGATGTTCCTTGGTATTTATGCAAAAGAGTTGAAAACTTATGACCACACAAAAACCTGCACACAGTTGTCTAAAATGGATTTATTCATAATCATCAAACATTGAAGCAACCAAGATGTCCTTCACAAGGTGAACAGATAAACTGTGGTCCATCCAGACAGTGGAATATTATTCAGCACTAAAAAGACATGGGGGGAATCTTTAGTGCACATTGCTAAGTGAGAGACACCAATCTGAACTGGCTGTATACACACCATATGATTCCAACCATATGACATCCTGGAAAAGGCAAACATATGGAGATAGCAGAAGGATCACAGTTGCCGAGGGCTCAGGAAAGAGGGATGGTTGGATAATGGGGAGCACAGGGGAGTTTTAGGGCAGTGAAAATACTCTATGTGGTACTATAAGGGTGGATACATGTCATATACAATTTGTCCAAACCCATAGAATGTGTAGCACCGAAAGCGAGCCCTAATGTGAACTATGGGCTTTGTTAATAATAATGTATCGTATTGGCTCATCCACTGTCATAAACATACTGCACCAATGTGCGACGTTAACAAGAGAGGAAACTGGGGGGGGAGGGAAAGAGGGGGAACAGACACCCTGTACTTTCCACTCTCCTCTTCTGTCAACCTAAAACAATTCTAGAATAAAGTCTATTAATTTTAAAAAGTCCCTACTTATAAAATAAAAAGTGGGCAACCATATATATTATTTATTTTTGTTTTTCTAAATATGGAATGCTTCACAAATTTGCCTGCCATCCTTGTGCAAGGGGACATCCTAATCTTCTCTGTATCGTTCCAGTTTTAGTCTACATGCTGCCAAAGTGAGCACCATATATATATATGTATGTGTATATATATATATATATATATATATATATATATATATATATATTTAAAAAAAGAATTATCTATTTCTTTGACAGAGAGCCAGAGGTGGGAGAGGCAAAGGGAGAGCGAGAGCTGAGTGCAGAACCTGACATGGGGCTCGATCCCAGGACCTTGAGATCATGACCTGAGCCGAAATCAAGAGTCAGATGCTTAACCAACTTAGCCACCCAATATATATAATATATGTTATATATATTATATATTGTTGGCACCCCAACATATACACTATAATATATATAATATATATATTAAAATAAGTCTAATATGACATTGCCACTGAATCTCTGTTGCTCTGGGATAAACAGTGATTTTATTTGTTGAAAGCTGAAGAGATTGTGGGGAGTCAGCGCTGAGACAGAAGGAGTTCAGAGTCCCAGAAAAAGGAGTGGGAAGGGTGACATTGCGCAGAGGAGCTCTCCGCTCTGGGAACAATGCTTTCTCAAGGGTTGTCTGCTTGCAGGTACAGAGCCCTGCTGGGGGGACACTGAGCAAGCACGGGGTTTATTCCAGGAGAAGCAGCTTGAGTGAGGCCCAGGACTGAGCTCCTACATAGATCACCTCCTTCCTGCCTCACAGAAGCCTTAGAGGGAGGCATTCTTGGCGCCCTACTGTGGACCACGGAGAGGTTCCGTGGCTGTCCACTCAGTGCAGCCCAGATTCAAGTCCAAGTAGATGTAGACTTGACTACACCATCACTCCCCTCCACAGCCACCCAGAGCCCACAGCAGGCAGCTTCACCAGCCGGGGGTCTTAGCACCTTGCCAGCTTCAGGCAGAAATCTCTCCTTTCCCCAGAGCCCACAAGATCTCCACTGCACCCACCTCCCTGGACCTCTTTCCTGCAGACTTGTTGGCATCCACTCATCAGCTTCCACCATGGTGGTCCCACCAGCTGTCCTCCAGTGGTGGCCTGGGCCCCAGGCTCTCCGGGTTCAGCTGTCTCCTCTCCCCTCAAGACCACTGCACTGGTCTGCTCCTGGGAGTCCAACATACATTTTTAAATTTCTGTTCAAGCAAATTGGCTTTCTCCCACACCATTTCCACATGCTCTTCTATAATTTATGACTGCGCGGGCATCTCTGCTCCCTAATCCCGCAGACTTCTGGCCCCAACACAGCGCCAACTGTAATCCTTCCACTTAAAAATAAGAACCCATGTTTGTTTTGTTTATTATTTTATATTCCATTTATTATCCTAAAAGCTACATCAGAGATCGTCAGTTCTGTTAGATGCCTGAGAGGCGTAAGTGCTGTTTATTCTTTGGCAAGATGCTAAGAATTTCGGGGACTCAGAATTGCAATGGAGAAAAGAAATGTCATGGATATTTTCTGCACTTGGAAACGGTTTTCAGCCTTTTGTTACAGCCTTAAGATTTAGATCCTTGGGTGACACACCACAGTGCGGTGACATGATGGAGGGGCATATGACCACTGAAACGGCACATGCAGGATATGTACTCTTAGTCACAGACAAGCACACGGGAGTACCTTAAATGCCAAACACACAAGACAAAGTCACTTGTATGCATAGGTTTCAAGTAGGCAAAGATGAGTGCATTGGCATAAAGATCCACAAATGATGATTTTGAGGAATATAAAAGAATGACTTGGGTGCCTGGGTGGCTCAGTCGTTAAGCGTCTGCCTTCAGCTCAGGTCATGGTCCCAGGGTCCTGGGATTGAGCCCCGCATCGGGCTCCCTGCTCAGCAGGAAGCCTGCTTCTCCCTCTCTCACTCCCCCTGCTTGTGTTCCCCCTCTCGCTGTGTCTCTCTCTGTCAAATAAATAAATAAAATCTTAAAAAAAAAGAATGACTTTCCTGAGTGTATTTGTATCCGATGAAATTGAGCATATTTTGATATAAACAGACGAGACTCCTACACAGAAAAAGTCAGACTTTTCCCCTTTCCAGCTGTGTCTTAAATCTTCTGGCAATTCTCAGCTGGTGACACTGCATTCTTTGTAGGCTTACGGAATTAACGAGAAGTCAGCCCTCCCCACCCCACCCCCACCTCCCAAACACAAGTTTTTATATGTTTTGGCTAATTCTCGTGATTCCTTCACTCTTCCCCAAGAACACAGCAGTGCTACTGGTAATGCCTTTTGGCCAACCCTCGGGCTGACTTCGTTTCTAATACATCCTGGCTTTATGCACAGCCAAAACCCGGTAGCAAGCATCCTTCTGCAGAAGCAGGTGGCTGAGCCTGAAGGCCCAGCCTGTGTAGTGTTTCTGTGACTCCTGCTTAGCCCACTTTTCACAGCTGGTAATCCTTCTCATCAGCCTGTTTCTTGTCTTCCTAGCAAG